TGGCAGTAGGTCCCGGGGCGTTCGGCTGTGCGTGGCGGTAGGTCCCGGGGCGTCCGGCTGTGTGTGGCGGTAGGTCCCGGGGCGTTCGGCTGTGCGTGGCTGTAGGTGCCAGGGTGTTCCCCTCCTATGCCAGCCCCTGCACGTTCGCTGCTGCAGCCCATTAATAATTGACGGCGTGATGGCGATTACGGGGCCTGTACAAGCGTCCTGAATATTTCATCAGGCCGCGATGCTGCTGGGAACGGATGGGGCTCCCTCCTCATCCATCTTCTGCAGGGGGCTCAGCACAGGCTGATCCCTGCTGCTGCCTCGGCTTCTCCCCGGGGGGCCGGGCTGGGCTGCCCCACACTCCTGGACTCCTCTCCCCTTCTCTGGCCCCGCACATGCACCCCCCAGCCCCTCTCACGCCTGGGGCTCTCACCCCCTGCTCTCCAGGCTGCTCCTCCGGGGGGCGTCCTACAGCAGCCAAGGGAAATGGCTGGGCCCCCACAGCCCTCGGCAGCGCAACTCGCTCTCCCCTCCCCCCAGGGCTCCTGGGTCCCCCGGCTCGGGTTCCCTGGTCGATCGTCTCTGCAGCAATCAAATCCATTAGCTGCCTGCCGCCAGGGAGGGCTCAGGTGGCGATCGATACCCAGAGTGGCCGGGGAGAAGCCGCTGGCAGGGCCAGCCCGGCGCTCGCCGGCAGAGATGGCTGGAGCCGTGTTCGTGGGGACCGACGGGCCGCGGGCGGGCGGGGGCGGCTGCACACGGGAGTTGGGGCGGGGGCGCTCTCGCCAGGTGCTGGGGGCGCTGCTGTGGGAGGGGAGTGTGTGGTGGTTCGTGCAGCCAGCCACAGGTCTGCCAGCCCCCCACCCCCCCACTGCCGTCTGACCAGCCGCCCGAGCTTGCTGCCCGCCTGGGGGGCAGAGGAGAGACCTGGCCTGGCATCCCGCCTGGCCTGCACGGCCCCCCCCCCAGGAAGCCAGGGCCCTGGGAATGGGGCTGGTTCCCCATGTCACCCCAAGGGCGCTGGCCTGGTCCCAGTCGTCTCCCCGGGACATCCCCACCCCACGGCCCAGGGGGAGAGACACCCAGGGCTTGGGGGGGGGAGCGGGCTCTGCCCCTGCTCGGTGGGCACGGATCTCCCTAGGGGCCATGTGGGATGGGGCAGGCAGGGTGGGATGGGAGGAGATGTGTTGGGGAGGAATGGGGGGTGAAGCCATAGGCTGGGGGACCAGTAGGACAGCCCCCTCCACACACACACATTAAATATCTGGATTTCTCCTCTTTTCTCTCAGGTTTTTCCTCAAGTTCTTCCTCAAGTGCAACCAGAACTGCCTGAAGAACGCGGGGAACCCCCGGGACATGCGCCGCTTCCAGGTGAACCCCCTCCCCCCGGGACAGGGGCCCCGGCCCAGCAGCTCGGCACTGTATCTCAGGCGCCGGGGCTGGGGATGGATAGCGGGGGCTCGGTCAGGCCTCCAGCCAGGCCCCCGCTGCCCGCCCCCTGGGTGGGGGGAAAGGGGGCATCGGGCTGGGGAAGGGCCAGGAGGCAGCTACGAGCGCAGCCTGGGCCGGGCCTGGTGGGGAAGGGCACAACCCCGGGGTGTTCCTGGCACTGAGATCTGGGGGTGTGGAGGCAGCTCCTCTGGGAGGGTTGGGGGGGTCCGTCGCTCTGGCCATGGCTGGACCAGGTCTGGCGGAGGAGCAGTGCCCTGGCTCGCGGGGGCAGGGGCCTGGCTGCCTTCTCCGTCTCTGCTCCCCTCGGCCGGTTGCCTGGGGGGCGGCTGACTGGCTCAGCCCGTGCCCCGCGTTGGAGCTCAGGGGCTAGAGGGAGACCAGTCCTGTCTCTGGGCAGTAACCGGTGAGGGGGGACACATCTGAGTCCCCGGCTGCTCAGCCTCCTCTCGGCCCGCAGCGAGGGGAGAACCCCGCTCCCCCAGGGGATCCCCGCGGTCTGACGTGGCCAGGCCTGTGTCCTCGCTCATTGCAGAGACTGCAGCCAGGCCTGCTCTGGGGACCCCCGGAGAGCCAGCACATGTGGGGCTGGGAATGATGGGTCCTCTGCTCTCCGGGCCATAGCCGGCTCCTCTCGCCAGCACCAAACCCACCAATAGAGCCACGCAGCGACGGCTCCCGGCCTGCACGCGGCCCGGCGGCAGGGAGGGGGTTAAAACCCACCGCAGGACCAGCTGACAAACCCCATCAGGGCCATTCCCTCGTTCCCCGGGCCAGCTGGGACGCTGCGGCCCTGTTACCCCCTGGCCGAGGTGAAGTCCTGGGGCTTGGGGGGCAGGACTTCAGCTCTGATTCTAACCAGGCTCGGAGCAAAGCGAAGCGAGATACAGCGCCCTCTCGCTGGGTCTCCCCCATTGCTGGCTGTGTGCACCAGGCGCAGCCCCAGGGAACGCGCTGGCCGGCCGAGAGCCCCACCGGAGCGGGATTCGGTTCTCCACTCTCGGGGGGGTTGGTCACCGCCACCTCTGAGCGCCTGAGAGTTATAGGAGTTTCTGAAGGGCCTAGGGGAGTTGGGAGCGATTCCCCCCCGCGGAGTGACTCCACTGTCTGATCTCGCTGGATTCTGGCACCGTTGCTCTGTTGCTTACCTGCCCCCTCGCCCCAGCCCAGATGGAAGCAGCGAAAAGCGGCACCTTCCCCCTTCCATTAGCCCCTCGACTGGCTCAGTGCAGCAGCTGGCGGGGTGCCCAGCTGTCTGGGGGAGGGGTGGTTTGGGGACGTCTCTGTCTCTGCTGCTCGTGGCGTTACATGGGGTCGGAGGGCAGCATTGCGGCGTTGGAGGCAGAGGCAGTCGCCGCTGTGCCCGGCGGACCGTTCTCCGGGGTGGGGAGGGGGTTTGTCTGTCTGCCTGTCCCCTCTGAGCAGTGCCAGAGTGATTCTGACATTGGAGACCATGTGAATACCCAGCCTGGCACCATCGCCAGCTCCTGGGGGCATCGGCGGGCCTGCCAGCCCAGGGCACCGCAGGGTCTGGGAGCCGTGTGTCCGAGGCCCCAGCTGTGCTCCCAAGCTCACCGGACTGAGCCGCGTTGTGCCGGGTGGCTGTGCCCCCCCCCCCCCCCCCGCAGGAACGGGGCAGTCGGGAAGCTGGATTCTGGAGGGACCAGGGCTTTGGCCAAGGCCTGCTGTGGTTCGTTGGGTAGGACGGGGGCAGGCAATTGTATTGGACACCCTGGGCCAGCTGTTCCTGTTCTACCATCTGCACTGTGTCAGACAGCCAGGGAGCTGTAACCCCGAAGTGTTCGCTGGTATCTCTCGTCCTCCATTCTTCTGCAGTTCTCACATTTCACAGATGGGGAAACTGAGGCACGAACAGTTAGGTGACTTACAGTCGCCCACAGTGCAGTGGCAGAGCCAGGGCCCACTGTGCGTAGCGTCACCGTTCCCTGTTGGCTCTCCCAGCCAGAGGGGTACATACCCTCATCACAGCGCCCCCCGTTGTATCACAGGGCGAGGGCTCGTTAGCAGGAGAACAGCCCTGCATCTCTCCCAGGTATGCCAGCCCTGCCCCTGCATCGCTTCGCAAGCCCCCTCTGGCCTGCCATGCCCAGCTCCCCCGTGGTGCCCGGCGGGTGCAGCTCGGCAGGCGGAGGCGGCGGCTCTGGCCCGTCTCCCCAGCTCACACCCAGCGCGGCGCCTTCATTAGGGCCTCTCGGAAAGATATGATAATTGTGACATTTTTACATGATTAACAACCCATCCAATTTGCATAGTGCCGCGGCTCCTGGGAGAGCAGCCAAGCCCGCCAGCGAGTAGGTGGGGGCAGGGAGGAGACCTGGCAGCCAGGCTGGGGGCTGGAGCTGGCCCGGCCCCCTCGGCCCCTGGAACGCTGACCCTGGTGTAACGAAGCGGCCTTTGGCCGGACACTCCTGAGAGTATCAATTCAGAACAAATTGCTTAGAGCAGGGCAGTTACAGCCCAAAGCTGGGTGTCCTTTGCACACCAAACCAGCCAGACAGAGAGGACTTCGGTCTCACCCCACTGGCGAACCACGAGTCACACAAGCAATTCCCTTAGACACTCCAGTTTCCCAGTATCACCACCAGTGCCACTCGTTATGGAGACGAATGGTTATGAAAACCAATACCCCAGTAAAAGAAAAAGGGTTCTCCTGATCCCAAAGGACCAAGCCCCAGACGCAGGTCAATACACAAGTCAGATCTTACCCACAAATCACGCTGTTGCCAATCCTTTAGAATCTAAAATCTAAAGGTTTATTCATAAAAAGAAAAAAATATAGATGAGAGCTAGAATCGGTTAAATGGAATCAATTCCATACAGTAATGGCAAAGTTCTTGGTTCAGGCTTGTAGCAGTGATGGAATAAACTGCAGGTTCAAATCAAGTCTCTGGAATACATCCCCAGCTGGGATGGGTCATCAGTCCTTTGTGTAGAGCTTCCGTTTGTAGCAAAGTCTCTCCAGAGGTAAGAAGCAGGATCGAAGACAAAATGGAGGATCTTCCCAGGGCCTTTTATATTCTCTGCCATGTGGAAGGACCCCTTTGTTCTTACTGTGGAAAATCACAGCAGCAAGGTGGAGTTTGCAGTCACCTGGGCAAGTCACATGTCCATGCATGACTCAGTTCTTTACAGGTAGAGCAGCCATTGCTCACATGCTGCCTTGAATGTTCCCAGGAAAGCTCCTCGGATGTGGATTGGAGTCTCCCAAGGTCTATTGTCAATTAAGAGTTTCTTAATTGGGCACTTCATTTGAAAATTCCTTTCTCAAGAAGCTGACCAAATGCTTCACTGGTGCTACTTAGAATCAAACCCACTGAGATACAAGTACATAGATAATATTCATACTTCAAATACAGAAATGATACACACATACAGACAGCATCATCCTAACCAGCAAACTGCAACCTTTTCAAAGACACCTCACTTGACCTCCCTTGTACAAGATTTGGTGCCACTGGAGGACTTTGGTTGCAACAGTGATGTATACGGTCCCAGTTCATGTCATAGATTCATAGATTCATAGATTCTAGGACTGGAAGGGACCTCGAGAGGTCATCGAGTCCAGTCCCCTGCCCGCATGGCAGGACCAAATACTGTCTAGACCATCCCTGATAGACATTTATCTAACCTACTCTTAAATATCTCCAGAGATGGAGATTCCACAACCTCCCTAGGCAATTTATTCCAGTGTTTAACCACCCTGACAGTTAGGAACTTTTTCCTAATGTCCAACCTAGACCTCCCTTGCTGCAGTTTAAGCCCATTGCTTCTTGTTCTATCCTCAGAGGCTAAGGTGAACAAGTTTTCTCCCTCCTCCTTATGACACCCTTTTAGATACCTGAAAACTGCTATCATGTCCCCTCTCAGTCTTCTCTTTTCCAAACTAAACAAACCCAATTCTTTCAGCCTTGCTTCATAGGTCATGTTCTCAAGACCTTTAATCATTCTTGTTGCTCTTCTCTGGACCCTTTCCAATTTCTCCACATCTTTCTTGAAATGCGGTGCCCAGAACTGGACACAATACTCCAGCTGAGGCCTAACCAGAGCAGAGTAGAGCGGAAGAATGACTTCTCGTGTCTTGCTCACAACACACCTGTTAATACATCCCAGAATCATGTTTGCTTTTTTTGCAACAGCATCACACTGTTGACTCATATTTAGCTTGTGGTCCACTATAACCCCTAGATCCCTTTCTGCCGTACTCCTTCCTAGACAGTCTCTTCCCATTCTGTATGTGTGAAACTGATTTTTTCTTCCTAAGTGGAGCACTTTGCATTTGTCTTTGTTAAACTTCATCCTGTTTAACTCAGACCATTTCTCCAATTTGTCCAGATCATTTTGAATTATGACCCTGTCCTCCAAAGCAGTTGCAATCCCTCCCAGTTTGGTATCATCCGCAAACTTAATAATCGTACTTTCTGTACCAATATCTAAGTCGTTAATGAAGATATTGAACAGAGCCGGTCCCAAAACAGACCCCTGCGGAACCCCACTCGTTATGCCTTTCCAGCAGGATTGGGAACCATTAATAACAACTCTCTGAGTACGGTTATCCAGCCAGTTATGCACCCACCTTATAGTAGCCCCATCTAAATTGTATTTGCCTAGTTTGTCGATAAGAATATCATGCGAGACCGTATCAAATGCCTTACTAAAGTCTAGGTATACCACATCCACAGCTTCTCCCTTATCCACAAGACTCGTTATCCTATCGAAGAAAGCTATCAGATTGGTTTGACATGATTTGTTCTTTACAAATCCATGCTGGCTGTTCCCTATCACCTTACCACCTTCCAAGTGTTTGCAGATGATTTCCTTAATTACTTGCTCCATTATCTTCCCTGGCACAGAAGTTAAACTAACTGGTCTGTAGTTTCCTGGGTTGTTTTTATTTCCCTTTTTATAGATGGGCACTATATTTGCCCTTTTCCAGTCTTCTGGAATCTCTCCCGTCTCCCATGATTTTCCAAAGATAATAGCTAGAGGCTCAGATACCTCCTCTATTAGCTCCTTGAGTATTCTAGGATGCATTTCATCAGGCCCTGGTGACTTGCAGGCATCTAACTTTTCTAAGTGATTTTTAACTTGTTCTTTTTTTATTTTATCTGCTAAACCTACCCCCTTCCCATTAGCATTCACTAGGATAGGCATTCCTTCAGACTTCTCGGTGAAGACCGAAACAAAGAAGTCATTAAGCATCTCTGCCATTTCCAAGTTTCCTGTTACTGTTTCTCCCTCTTCACTAAGCAGTGGGCCTACCCTGTCTTTGGTCTTCCTCTTGCTTCTAATGTATTGATAAAAAGTCTTCTTGTTCCCCTTTATTCCCTTAGCTAGTTTGAGCTCATTTTGTGCCTTTGCCTTTCTAATCTTGCCCCTGCATTCCTGTGTTGTTTGCCTATATTCATCCTTTGTAATCTGTCCTAGTTTCCATTTTTTATATGACTCCTTTTTATTTTTTAGATCATGCAAGATCTCGTGGTTAAGCCAAGGTGGTCTTTTGCCACATTTTCTATCTTTCCTAACCAGCGGAATAGCTTGCTTTTGGGCCCTTAATAGTGTCCCTTTGAAAAACTGCCAGCTCTCCTCAGTTGTTTTTCCCCTCAGTCTTGATTCCCATGGGACCTTACCTATCAGCTCTCTGAGCTTACCAAAATCCGCCTTCCTGAAATCCATTGTCTCTATTTTGCTGTTCTCCCTTCTACCCTTCCTTAGAATTGCAAACTCTATGATTTCATGATCACTTTCACCCAAGCTGCCTTCTACTTTCAAATTCTCAACGAGTTCCTCCCTATTTGTTAAAATCAAGTCTAGAACAGCTTCACCCCTAGTAGCTTTTTCAACCTTCTGAAATAAAAAGTTGTCTGCAATGCAGTCCAAGAATTTGTTGGATAGTCTGTGCCCCGCTGTGTTATTTTCCCAACATATATCCGGATAGTTGAAGTCCCCCATCACCACCAAATCTTGGGCTTTGGATGATTTTGTTAGTTGTTTAAAAAAAGCCTCATCCACCTCTTCCACCTGGTTAGGTGGCCTGTAGTAGACTCCTAGCATGACATCACCCTTGTTTTTTACCCCTTTTAGCCTAACCCAGAGACTCTCAACACTTCCGTCTCCTATGTCCATCTCTACCTCAGTCCAAGTGTGTACATTTTTAATATATAAGGCAACACCTCCTCCCTTTTTCCCCTGTCTATCCTTCCTGAGCAAGCTGTATCCATCCACACCAACATTCCAATCATGTGTATTATCCCACCAAGTTTCAGTGATGCCAACAATGTCATAGTTATATTTATTTATTAGCACTTCCAGTTCTTCCTGCTTATTACCCATACTTCTCGCATTTGTATATAGGCATCTAAGATACTGGTTTGATCTTTCCTCCCGGTTTTGTCCTGACCCTCCTTTCTCTCTGCCAATATAGCCCACACTCCCTCTCGTCTCCGACCCATCTCCCAGGTCTCCATGTTCCCCACTTACCTGCGGGCTTTGCTCACCTGTCCCCGTCGAACCTAGTTTAAAGCCCTCCTCACTAGGTTAGCCAGTCTGTGTCCAAATAGGGTCTTTCCCTTCCTCGAAAGGTGAACACCATCTCTGCCTAGCAGTCCTTCCTCAAATAGCATCCCGTGGTCTAGGAAGCCAAAGCCCTCCTGGCGACACCATCTTCGCAGCCAGGCATTCACCTCCATGATGCATCTGTCTCTGCCCGGGCCCCTACCTTTGACAGGAAGAATCGAAGAGAATACCACCTGCGCTCCAAACTCCTTCACCCGTACTCCCAGAGCCCTGTAGTCACTCTTGATCCGCTCAGTGTCACACCGCGCAGTATCATTTGTGCCCACATGGATGAGTAGCATGGGGTAGTAGTCAGAGGGCTGGATAATCCTCGACAATGCCTCCGTAACGTCTCGGATACGGGCTCCCGGCAGGCAGCATACCTCCCGAGATGAAATGTCAGGGCGACAGATGGGCGCCTCCGTCCCCCTCAGCAGAGAGTCTCCGACCACCACTACCCTACGTTTCCTATTCGCAGTGGTGGCGGCAGACCTCCCAGCCTTAGGGGTACGAGGCTTCTCCTCCTTTACTGTAGGGGGTAATGCCTTCTTTCCTGTATCAAGAAGAGCATAACGGTTACCTATTACCACAGCGGGAGGGTTCGGAGCAGGGGTGGAGCACTGCCTGCTGCCAGAAGTAACCAGCTGCCAGTGTCCACCCTGAGCCATCTCCTCCTCCACCAGTGGTGTATCAGCAGTCCTGTGTCCTGGGACAGCTACCTCAGCTGTCTCCACATGGACACTGTCCAGGAATTGCTCGTGGATTCGGATGCTTCTCAACCTAGCCACCTCCTCCTGTAGCTCTCCCACCTGCTGCCTGAGAGATTCCACCAGCAGGCACCTTTCACATTGGATGGTCCCCTCAGCCTGGATATCAGTAAGTGGAAATTGCAAGTTACAGTCTCTGCAAAACCACACCAGGATCTGGGTAGAAGCATCCATGCTCAGGCGCTCTGTCTGGCTACAGGCGCAGGTGGAGGAGACAGAAGCAGTGCTGGCACAGGTGTTGCGGGTCTTCCTAACCATCGTAAGCCTCCCTCTGTCAAACTCCCGTCTGCAGCCCCCTGTCCGCTGAAAGGGTTGTTTAAGCAAGAAGTTTAAAGTTTTAAGGGGAATAAAGGGAAAACAGATAGAACCGGCAAGGGACCCTCGCCCCTTCCTGCTCCCCTTCCAAACTCCCTTGCGAAACTCCCTGTTAGCAGCCCCTGGTCGCAAACGCTCCCTGGTCGCTTGTGCGCTGCTTTATAAAGCCCTGGCCTGTATGAATGCCCCGCCCACTGAGTAAGGCTCAGCCAATTACCAGAGGCTTCCTGGTTTCAAACCTTCCTTTGAAGCTCACAGCTTCCAACTGTCAGCCACAGCACACGGTCCTTCAAACAACCAAACAAACAAACTGACTGCCAAACACAAGCTCAGCACACAGCAAGTAACCCCCAAACACAAACACACACACACTGCAGACAGTCACTTACCCCAAAAGGGTGCTGTATTGCTCCTCCTTCACCTGGAGAACTCCCTTGCGAAACTCCCTGTTAGCAGCCCCTGGTCGCAAACGCGACCATAACATCAAGGCTGGCTCCGCAGGGTGCATGGCAGCAGAGGGTTGCCGCGGCTCAGGGGTCAGACCTGAGAAGCTCCCGTGCCCCAGAACCTCCCTTCTCAGCTTTCCCACAATGCACCGGTGGGTGACATGGGCCATCGCCTAAGTAGCATCAGACCCTGGTACTTAGCCCCTAGTAATGGCACTTCCCCTCCCCCGAGAGGGCTGGGCCACAGCTGGCATTCAGGGGCCGTGCAGTGCCTGGGACTGCCCCACTGGGGGGCGGGTTCAACCGACGCTGCGATGCAATGGGCTGCCCCATTTGGGGGCGGTTCTAAGGACTCTATGGTGAGATGGGCTGTCCCGTTTGGGGGGGGGGTTTCCAAAGACTCTGTGGTGGGATGGGCTGCCCCATTAATGGGTGGTGCTAAGGACTGTGGTGGGATGGGCTGTCCCGTTTGGGGGGGTTTCCAAGGACTCTGTGGTGAGA